TCACGGGTCGGCCCGGCATTGCAGTGCCGCCGGGATCGGCCCACATATTACCCTAGCAAAGCAATGAATGAGAAGTTAAAGATCAGTACAATACGTCGCGTGGATGTGAATCTATAACAGGCAATTTGTACAGAAGTTTATTGTTATCCAGGACTTTTCCCAGCAAAAGACATCGACTTAAGTAGACGTTCATAAATTGGTAAAGTGCCCCTCAGATTTTTGCGATTTAAAGCTCTGAGTGCCACTGCAACTGTTATGGACAGGCGTGTACCTTAACATCGGGCGCACGACTCGTTCGTCCCGTCACTTGATATTATATAAAAAAAATCAATATAAATGAGTGAAATGACAAACAGTTAGAAAAATGAGGTATTTCTAGAATAAGTATTTTCAAGAACAAGTCCTTTTAAGTAAAAGTTTTTGTACGAATATGTCTTAAGCAGAATAGGGTACTTCCCGAATAAGGCATTTTCAGAATGAGGCCTACCACAATTACGTACTTTTACAACTACAGATCATTTTGCGAATGGGTCTTATGTCGACTAATCCTGTGGATAAACGATATTTCAATTAAGGCTATCAGCGCAAAAGTGATTAGCCACATTTAATTTTTTATTATAAAATATTTAATAATTTTTTACCAAATTAAAGCTGGTCTGACAATTTTTGTCTTCTTCAAAGCAACACCTTATTCTGAATGAATACAAAACATTTATATTTACACTTGTTTAAGGTCGCTGCGCTAGAAGGACCAGTATTTAAAAACACTGAAAGTAGCAAATGATAGCAATGAAATTATATTTTAAATCCCTCTACCGCTATTTACATGACCATATCATTAGAAATGTTACGGTTTCGAATATGCCATGTATATTTGGACAAAAATCATTACCTCACGTAGGTACGTTTGAGTATTTATGGTACTAGTCCTCACAACACCAGCTAGATGTCACTGTACAGTTTTACGATACAAACTTATGTTTAGTTGTTACCACAAACAGCACAACAGTTAAAATATGGTATAATTAATACTTTTTTCGGATTTTTTAATTAGTAGAGGGTTTAGTGACGTTTTTTATAAATTGCTGACTAGGTATAATGAGTATTTAATAAACAAAATGCATAAATTATGTGTAAAGATTGGTAGATAATAATTTTGTCAACTGTAAATAAGTTTGTAAAATTTCTGAATCGCGGTGTTAAGATTTTCCCTCGACGAATGACCAGCTGGGAACATTTTCGTTGCGGTATCGCTTCTCGGCCTTTTGGCTAAGATCAAAGTGTAGTATCTGTTCTTTTCAGCTTAATATCTGAAAGTTCCCTCATTGAGGGACCAGTATATTAAACTGATTTTTGTGACCAGACGGGATGTTCGGGGCTCGCTCCACTCCCGTCACGGGTCGGCCCGGCATTGCAGTGCCGCCGGGATCGGCCCACATAATTACCCTAGCAATTGAAAGGATCACTATGTCGCTCTTTTGCGGATCCAGTTTCCTTTCTTGCAGCACAGACAATTTCTTCTACGGATAGAGACGGGAAACGTTAAAACGTGCCTTTCTACTCTTTGAAATTTATATATTTATTCTTCCTATAATAAAATTCTCCCTCTACGACTTATACGCTTTTTAGTTTGAAGCTTGCTAAAACGTTTAAGCGCATGGACTTTTAGGTTAAAAAAACCGACCTCAAAAGTCATTCATCCCCTAGTTTGCCACCCTTAGAGGTGGAATATTTTCTTCAAATTTAAATGGGACCACTACTGTGGTAACCTCTTTCCAACAAAAAAAGAATCATCAAAGTCTGCTAATGAAAATACCGTTGCCAATTAGATGATTAGAGATTAGATGGCGGAAATTGAAACAAACACGTAATAAACTCTAATTGAGCATTGAACTAACCAACGCATACGCTTAAATTGAAAAGCGTGCTTATGTGCTTATTTTAAAAAGCTAACTTTTTAAGTACTTTTCGATTAAATGCCCACCTGTATCTGCGGATATCTTGTAAGTTTAACAATCATCGCCATCAAAAACTTCCCAGTAGACACCGTTGCGTGTAGTTGCCATTTGATCTGCCGTAGCAATTCCCATGTTATTGTACGTAATTAGCTTTCTAAAATGGAGATATTGTGTCGATCAGGTAAATGTTTACTTTACTATTAATATCTCTTGTATCCCTGTGCTAACACTGAAATTTCCCAGGAACTTTTACTATTGAATGAATAATAGAAATGTTTTTCCTTTACATTTTTGTCGACATATTTTTTTTCTCCAGTTTCGATCATTTTCGGCGATATTTTTCTCGTCTCGAAGTTGATTTCTCGCGAGAAATCTCGAGCAGAAACCCAAGTTACATTGTTAAGTAGAAGTCCACTAAAAACTCATACATCGCCGCCGCTAGAATTTAACCAGAGGATAAGTACAAATATTATTCTGCTACACTTAGCATCAATTTATTAACATTAAAAAAATGAAACGCATATATTATAACAATAAAATTATATTTTTAATCTCCGCCGCCATCATCACTATTTGCGTCATCATCGCCGTCACTTTGTCCGTCATCGGCACCACTAAGTCCGTCATGGCCGTCACCATCGCTCTCGTTGGCATCCCACGAATGCTCGCTGTCGGATTGTGCTCGTTCTACCTCCATTTCCGACTCGTCTGATGATGTATCTGGAAAAGTGGGTTAAATTTGTAATATTTATTTATTATTTTCGTTTTTTTGGACAAATACTGTTTTTATTATTATTATTCCACATATCCCGGACTTCTGAAAATCAGCGCCACGAAAAAAGCCTTTTGTGGCTCAAACTGAGCAAGTCCCGATTGCACCAGCCGCGACACGCATGACGGTGAATTAGTTACTGCATTATCAATTGTGTTAATTTAATTTTCTTTATTGTATTATTATTATTCATTATTTATTTTAGACTCTCGCCTCTCCGAGGACTTAAATGGTTAATTTTTAATTGTTATTATTATTATTATCGTTCTTTTGTTGTTTCGTTTACATGCGTGTCTGTGCTTGTCCAATAAACAGTTTTATTTCTTTCTTATTAACACAAAGAAAAATTCCTTCAAACTGGACTCGAACCAATATCAGTTGCTATGCCAGGGCCACCATGAGTAACTTCATAAGTTTCTCACACGTGCATTGACGAAGAAAGCCGTTTAAACCTAATATAAATCTGTGAAAAAAGTGCCAAATGGCTTGTCTGTTCATTTCAATTGTCAATGAAATATATTATCGAGATTTTTTTTTGTAAAATAACTCCACTAGTTTTTATTATTAAAAAACACAGGAGAATTTAGACAACACAATAACTTGACCCATTGGGTCGAAAAAGTTTTTCTGTTTTCGATCTTGTATTACTTACTAATCATAATAAAAACAAGTGGAAATAATCATAAATAAAAACTAGTGGTATAGTCCATTTGTTTACGTATTTAACTAAATGTACACATAAACAATCTTTTAATAATTAATATAATAATACATCTTTTATACAAATCAATAGGTATAAAAATAGTTATCCAATTTCATATGAAGCAAGTATTTGTATTTTGTATTTGAAGGTAAGTAAAAATCTTTTTATAAATTATATTCCATTAAATAGACATTTCAAGATTGTTTACATTTAGTTAACTACCTAAACAAATATACTGATCACAAAAAACCTCAATAATACATTTAATCAAAAATCGACATCTAGTTGAGTCAGTTGAGGTATCTATAAAGGTGCTGGCTACTTCATTCCGTAAAATCCAGTACAAAAATCTTTAAGAAAAATAAAGGAGAATTTCGCCAAGTCGATAACTTGACCCGTAGCTCAGTTGGTAAGAGCAATACTATGGTGTAGTACGGTCGTGGGTTCAAATTCCATCGGATCGGAGAAAATTTTTGGATGTGATCGATCTTTGTACTGATAATCATATCAATGAAATAGTTTATTTTTAATTGTTTCACATAACAACAATTGAGTAATTTTGTAGGCAATTTTTTCAGTCAACTTGTTATTGAATATCGTCAGAAAAATCTTGATGAAATTATCCAGTGCGCTGCGCGATATAACTGTTACGCCTGTTAAACTGTAGCCTGTAAAAACCCTAGTTTTTGCGTTCTATTAGCTGTAATACTTACCGTTATACTCCAAAATCGGCTGCTGATCGACCTGTGAATCTTGACCTTGTCGTTGCGACATCGTCAAGTCTAAACGACCCTTCAGGTTCAGAAGTTGGCAGAGGTGGGAGCGTCTGTTTAAAATAATTAAAATGTTTATGTATATTATTGGTTGACAGCCATAAGCACGGCTTTGAAGAAACCTGCCCCAGCAACGACAAAGTTTTGTAAGTAAAACACAAACTAAAATGTCTAGTCGCGCGCGTGGCACATTGTAATTTATTATGATTACATTTTTTTTATAATACCAAATTGACGGGACGAACAAGACGTGCGCCTGGTGGTAAGCGACACTCCTACCATCAGGCGCACGACTATTCATTTAAAAAATGAAATCGTTTGCTGTTGTCACCTCAGGAATGTTGGATTTTGTGATTAATTACTATAATTCCCAACAACAATAACAAACACAACAGTAAAAGTTTTTATTTTACAATTCAATTTTGGAACTAACTATCAAAAACAACGAAAAGGTCTTTAGGTGCCGTTTTTGCAAAACAATGGTAATGTCAAAACAATGGTTGACACAACGGAAGAAAAAAACAATGGAAGTGCGCTGAGCCTTGATTGCTATGAGAACAGATGTCGCCAAAACTCACACATTATTAACTTGAAACATTACAAAATCTTGATATTGATGGGTCGTAGTTTCAAATGTAAAAAGAAATAATAAATTCTGGAGTGTTAATACAATTTAAACTTTACCCTGTTGGCACATCGTTGAAAGTTCATTACCATAAATACTAATTATTGCAAGTTACGACGTTTTGATATTATATTGAAATTTCAATCAATGTGCTGCCATCTAGCGGTTAATTGGAGAACGACGACGACTTGGAGTTGTTAACTTAGTTGTCTAAAAAAGAAACGACCACATTACAGGGGTAAAAGCTTTACTTTCGTTTCTTGTAACAAAAAAAAATAAGACTGCTATTCATCGAGTATATAACCAGAAATAGAGACGAAATGTCATTTAATTTGTTTGAAAACTATTCTGCCATATCATTACGGCGACAACTGCGCTCCGATTGGCTAGCCCGAGTTCGAAACAATTGACGGGTGTCGTCAACTGTTTCACTTCAAATCGACCAGTTAACTTGAGCTTTGCTATAACAGACGAAAATTGCAAAATTACATATTTAATACTTAATTACCGATGAAATGTGATTCCGTTTGTTTTGTAATTAGAAGATTTCCTGTTTTTCCCACACCACCGAATAGAACAGCACGGCATTGTTAGAGATATTTTCTTTATTACAATAAATACAGAACATTTTTTGGAATATACGGAGACGTACACACAGATCAGTAGTTGGCCTGTCTATATTTCAGTACAAACGAGAGCTGATATTTATAAGAGCTGTATCGTTAATGTGTTACCAGGAATATATAGCCCTTATTTCGTCTCTATTTCAGGTTATATATTCGATGCTGCTATTATATGGAACCACCACGGGTAATATTATTATTTTGCACTCCAAAAATAGCACAAAAAGGCATTTTTCTGGGATTTTTGAGGATTTGCACGAAAGAATAACAACCATACCATACAAAGCGAAAACGGCGGACTGAGCTCAGATAGGTCTTTCGAGACCTATTGTTGGCACGCGTCTGACGCTAACTAACTACTTCTACTGTATTTATTGTTCTGTAGTCGACACGTTATTGCTTATCAGGGCAACACTCACTGGGTCAAACCTGGAGCTGTGGAAGACAAGAGGGATGGGTGTTGCCCAAAAATAGGACACAATAAAAATCTGTCCAAACAATTATCTCTAACTACAGGCAGTGTTGGGCGTTAATCAATTAAATTTCAATCAAAAATTCAATCAGATTAAAAAATCAATTCAATTGAAATCAATTGCAATTAAATCAATTGCGACGCGTCGCAATTCGCAATTGATTTAATTGCAATTGATTTTATTGATTTATTGATTTTAATTGCAATTGATTTCAATTGAATTGATTTTAATTGCAATTAAATTTGCAATTAAAATCAATTCCGACCGGTTGGGGGCCCGGTTGAGGGCCCCAGTCGGGGGCCCCAGTTGGAGGACCCGATTGGGGGCCCCAGTTGGGGGGCCGGTTAGGGGCCCCGATTGGGGGGCCCCGGTTGGTGGTCCCGGTTGGTGGTCCCGGTCGGGGGTCCTTTGGGGTGTCCGGTTGGAGGCCCCGATTGGGGGCCCGGTTGGGGTCCTGGTTGGGGCCCCCAACCTGGCCACCAACCGGGCCCCCAAGAAGGGCCCCAAGCGGGCCCCCCAGCCCGGCCCCCAA